ACGGCCCCAGCCTAGTTCCATCACGCCAGATCCTGGCTTCGTGGTGCGTTGTTATTCGCGCGAGGGAAGTGGGCGGCGTCTGGCTCACAGCAAATCACTTAAGTCACATGGAAAAAAAAAGCAGAGTCACAATTCGAATGTTATATTGTTTCAGGGTTGTATATATAAATATGTCCACGCCTATACCTACTTGGGCTAAGTACCTCTGGATACCGTGGGCCTATGGTAGCAGTAGACGGGGCTATACGGACGCTATCTGGCCCCATCCTGTACAACACATCAATTGCAGGGAACATCCCTGTAAGCCATCGGCTTTTAGTCAAATTCTCCTCGTGTCCGAGTCTCACGCTGTACAATGGTACTCCGTAATTATGCTGTACCACCCACGCCCTCAAAGGCCTTGTACCCATTGTGCGTGTCCCCGATCGTCAGTCTGACGGCCTTATCTGGCATCAACGTCTGCCCAGACGGCTTCGGGCATATTTTGGTGTGAGGGACAGCATGGGGAAAGCATGGCAGCCCCTGGTGAAACATTATAGACAAGGGTAGAAAAAGGAACAAACAAGAGCCCCGCATAATTTGTATATGATAATAGTGCTACTTGAAGAAAAAAAAAGGCCAGAGAAACAGGGGGAAAAGAAAGAAAGCCAAAAAAACCCCCAAATTAAAAAAAAAAGTCCTCTGTTCTCATAAGAAAAGCCTGAAAGCTGCACGGACAAAGTCTGCAGGGTAACTCGCTGCAAGGTACGGACGAACCCGTCGATCGACGCGAGATTGACGACGTAAACATTGAAGTGGAGGTTCTAGTTATGGGAGGCTTGTTATGGAGAGACACTAAACCTTGGAAGGATTTCTCTAGTCTCCGTATGTAACCTCTTAACTCTACGATCCACCGAGTTGATACACGGAAAGCCCCGGAGGGACGATCAGTAAAGGAATTGACACATGAATTATATTATTATATTCTATTTAATTTCTACTCCTACAGAGTCAATTACTACGGAGGACGGAGCACAGGGTGAGTAAATGATTGAGATATTTCAAATACTTATAATATTGCTCCTAGGTATACCTATCATATATGAACAGGTCATCTTACATTTTCGGCTCAACGGTTCGATATGATGCATCACACCCGAATTGCGGAGTTGCCGTACCAATAACTGGGTGGATTCATAGTGGATCTTTCATTTGAGCTGGTTTTGATTAATATTCTCCATTTCTCATTTCTTCATTTCTGTCGGGGAAGAAGGTAACAGAATAATCGAAAGTAATAAAAAAGCCACAACCGAGTCCTGGCCCACTCCCTCATTTCCATCCTTTTATCATTCAGCCCTCAAATCCTCAAGGAAGGCCATTTCCTTTTCCAGTAAGGAAATGGTGTGTCGATTCAGGCGGATCCCTCCCCATGGCCCCCCCTAAACTACTGTATGCTGTATGTGCAGCGGGTATCGGGCCGTCGATAGCGAGCTGTGCAGGGGTCTGTCAGTGGCCCCCTCTTTCTCTTTTAATTTTCCCGGAGCTCTCTGGGCCTAGCGTATTAAGCTGGTTAGTACCTGCTTTCGTGTCTGGCCTGAATGTCTGTACTCCGTACGGAGTAAGAAACTAGGTATTCTTACTTCCCAGAAGATTATTGCAGACTAGAGAACCTGCCAAGGATTCAACATATATATTAATCATTATCCAGGATCTGGCCCGTATTTTCCCGGCCCCATGTTCACCGACCTCTCAAGGGTCTGTGTGGTAGACGCCACTTGCAGAATCCAAATCCAAATGCAAATACTTGAAAACTGGAAATCGTATTCCGATCATGATCTCCCCGAAATCGCATAAATTAACCATTGCATCTATATGTATGGTCAATGCATATTAGGGTAGGACTGGGAAAAAAAAAATTATAATAATAATAATCGGTGAATCCCTAGCTGTCACTTTTTTTATTTTACGGAATACGTGGGAATTGACATCTGTCAACCTTGAACCGTGATTTTCAAGTTGGAAATCAAGTCCGTGAATAGTCTAGGTCTGCTAGTGGAGAATACATAGGTACGTAGTAATAAGATAGAGTAATAAAAAAAGGACTAAACGCAAGGGGACTTTGGCCCTGCCCTCTTTTCACCTTGGCTTCTGTTGTATGGTCTTTTTTCCAGGAAGAAATTAGCGGTGTACTGGGGTCGAGTTGGTTTTGATGTTCAGCGTCTCTTTACTCCCCCCTTACTGGGATCTGGCTCTGGGCTTTTTTTTTATTATACATCTTTTTTTATTGTTGGGCATAGCCTGTAAATATATGGGGGAAATAAAATCGAAACTCAAAACAAATATTCATATTATTTGCTCTTATTCTTGGAGGATTATTATCCCGGCTATCCCGCCTATGAACGATGTTAGGTGTACTCCGTATATTAATTCTAGACTCTATCCAGGAATAGGATCCACGTTCATAAGTATAGAAGAAACAAAAGAAATAGTAAAAAAAAAAGAAAAAAAGAAAAGAGGAGTTTCTGGATGCATCATCATGGGGTCTCTCAGTTGAGATTACGATGCTACGTATGAACATCTCATTTCAATTTGGGCTAAAATTGGGTGGACAAATTCTGGACTAAAAGCTCTCTTTTTTTTCTCCAATTTTTTGTTCGATTTGTCTTTTTGCTTTTTTCTCTCTAATTTTCTCATTTCTCTTCAACTGTTTCGGTAACCGCCTAGCCTCTGACTGGTCTCTTCCTGGTACTTGATAGGCATTGGAAGAGAGAGAACAGACCCTTGATCGACTTCAAGCCACCCGTGTTTCGTGGTTCCCTCTGAGCCACTGATTTTCCCCTCTGCATCCCTAGGGTGTGACGTGCTTCTTTCCTCTTTCTCTCTCCACTGTTACTCACGGCCCGTCTTAACGCCTAGATCGTCCCGAACCATAAAAAGAAAACAAAAAGGGCTTGGTATGATTGTTTCTTGGCTGAAATGATTGTAAATAGATAGCATTGCAATGGTCCACTTGAATCGGGTATAGCCGTAGGTCTTTGAACGGAGGACCCGGAGCGATCGACCGGTGGTCACCTCTAATAGTAAGATATCCGAGAGGGGACAAGGCTCCGCCTATGCCCGGTGAATGATTTAGAATGAATTTTGTTTTGGCGCTGAGATTGATTTTAGCCGTTTCTTTAAGACGGACCTTGCAGGTGTTAGCTTGTAACATACCCCAATTAGAGGGGAAATGGTGCAAGCGCTGACTCCAGAAGCGGGAGAGTGCAATCCGCAATCGACGGTGCAGCCGCCGCGCATTGCCGGGCCTTTTTTTTTAATTTTTTAATTTTTAATTTTTTTACATTTCTCCCCCTCTCTGCAGCCACTGACAGATGTCTTGCACGATGAAAGATATGTCGGGAGATTTGAATTTCCAACTGTACTCCGTACTAGTAATGCACTATAGTGCCTAGGTACTTTGTACCTGTGTATTAGTATTCTTCGGGTAATTATAGTATCTTAACCGTGGTTTCGACCCATTAACGTCGGTTTCAACCGTGGATGTGTTTCCCCCGTTCTTCCCTCCCCCCCCCCCCCCTCCCCGGTTGACCACCCATGGTTCACTTGAGTGGGACCCGCGCGCGTGGAGACGAACCGTCTCAGCTATTTCTGAAATGCCTGGGGTGTTTATTACATTTTATGAAACATGACTACCTTGTATATAGAATTATCGCATTATAGGATATATGGTATATAGTACTAAATACAAGGATGAATCCTACTCCTGCAGTTTTGCCAGTTTTGCCTAGCCAGAAATAGTATCTAGAGGTCTAGAGTAACCCTCTCCTAAAGTAATCAATTAATTGAATCTGATCGGTTGACTCCACTAAGGGAATCAACTCCCAGATCCAGCGGGCCTATCCCGGCTGATCAACATGTTGCTTTTCTGCCTGTCACACAGACCAGGATCCTCAGCTGGGAATATTTCTCTTTGACTTGTCCCTACGGAGCACAGTTTTCAAGGTTATAATACTCCGTACGAATTGGGAAATGCTAGTTAATTTTGGTCAACCTGGTTAATACTAAAGGAAATGATTTACCTTGGACGCTCAACTCTGATCCGAATGGTCCTTACTTGGTGGCGTAGAATAATAATTATAAATATTTACCCCTAAAAAAAAGAAAGAAGAAAATCAAGATAATATATGGAAAGCAAGAAAAAGAAAAAATAAAAATAAAAAATCAGAAAAAAAAGAGAAGACTGAAAAAAAGCAAAAAAGAAAAGAAAAAAAGAAAAAAAGAAAAAGAAAAAGAAAACCCCAGCAGATATCGAGTCTAGAGGATGATCTGAACGCACGGTTCTGGTAGTCACTCACACTCTCTCTCTCTCCACCGGGTCCACTGTGATTGATTCGATGGGCTCTCTCTCTCTTTCTGTTTCTCTTCTTCTCCCTCAAAAGACGGGGCAAGCCGGGATTTCTGCAGACAATATTCTTCTCTTTCTCTTAAAAGAACGACCCTTAGTCAGCTTCTTCTTATCCTCCACTGATCGACTTTCCCGCTGCGGCTCGGCGTCATTTCGCTTCACCTCTTTTTCCCCTCTCTTAACCGCTTTGCTTAAGTTTCACTGTACGATTTCCTTTTATTTTAAGAGCCCTTTGCCCTTTTCCCAGTTTATTTTAATATTTTACTTTCTATCTTTTGTTTGTGCTTTTTCTTTTTTGCCTTTTTCAAACGCCATCTATCCAGCCTGCAGTGCATAGGGATGCGTTTGCTGCACCACCCCAGCCTCCACCTTTCTGTACGTCTGACTTCTTTTCTCAACCGCCCCCCCCCCATCCCTCGACTGTCTGAGACTTTGACCTTTCCCCCCCTACCTTCATCCGGCTTCGGCCTTATTTCATCATTCAATGCGCTCCATTTTCAGAGTTTCTTCTTCAATGACATGATTCCTGCATGACCTTGAAACGACTGCAAAACTTACTTTTTTTTTTTTTGTTTAGTTCCAAGCTTCCGGACTTTGATGTGTTCGACGATTGTTAATGACTCTGACGACCATTGTGCCTCTCTGAATTCGTCTACTTCTTCAAAAAGTCTTTACTGCGCTTCTGTTTAGGCCCGAGTCTTCACAAAAGGATAACGACTTCTACGAAGCTTCATTACGATAGTTGCACGCCCCTGCATCGCCTGCATCTTGCATCAATTTGCTATATTTTTCTTTCTCCAACGTTTGATCCTGAAAGCCCCGTTGAATATTTCGTTTGCAACTCTTTCTCTGTCTTCTCTTTTTCCCGTGCAACGTTCGCAAATTCCTCTGGTTTCCAAGGCTTCTGCAGCCTATATTGATAGCACGCCGGGCGACATTTACGTCCGCTGCTCGCTTCATTCCTCTATTCTAAACCGTTTATCCGTGCAACCGAAAAGCTGGAGCTGCCATCGATCTCGCAGGTCCATACCCGCGGTCCTGCTGACATCCCCTGGTACAACCATCACGCGGCGGAACGACCGTTATTGCCCGGCGACAAACTCCCCGCTCTCAGCCTGCCGACAGCCACCCAGGGCCTCTCCCGGACCGCCTACCACGATCCGTCCCTGGCCAATTCCACCAATTCCAGCGCTCGCACAAGTCTCTCCGGTGCTTCAGTGCCTGTCAACGAACCGAGGAGTCCCCCGCCCTCTGCGGACCTGTCTGGGACCCAGGGCCGACTTTCATTAGATTCTTCCGCCCCGACTGAATACAGTCTCCCCCCTCGGTCAACGAAGGGTACTATCCTAGCCCAACTTCTCTCGGCAGCATGAACCAGACCCAGCCATACATGGACGTCCACTCGCACATGTCTTCAGCTCAGTCATACGCTCCTCAAGGCGCTACCGCAGGCGCAATGTCCCACTACCAGTACCACGGGCAACCCCCTGTGATGCAGCCCGCGTCGTCTTACGCCCCGGCTGCTTACCCCCAATATGGATACGCCCCTGGCGTGACTTCACCCCCAACGGGACACCCACCAAGCTCAATGGGTGGCCAGATGCCGGCTCAGTTGCTGCCGTTGCCTGGTAAGCTCCAAAGCCAGAATGTGATCGATGATTATTCTGATCGTTATCAAGTGAGCAATCACGCCGCCCCTCCAAGTGGATATGGGAACAGCACCGGGGCTCCGCTACAAGGATTCGTCTTTGATGGTACCGGTCAAGTGGCTCCTCCGGGAGCAAAGCCACGAGTGACAGCCACATTATGGGAAGATGAAGGGAGTCTCTGCTACCAAGTGGAAGCGAAGGGAGTGTGTGTAGCTCGACGAGAAGGTAAGCTCATTCTGTGAGAAAAGGTTAATTGGGGGCTTTTTTTTTTGACTGGTTCTTTCTCGCAGACAACCACATGATCAATGGTACAAAGCTGCTCAATGTAGCCGGCATGACCCGTGGTCGACGTGATGGAATTCTCAAGAGCGAAAAGCTTCGCCATGTTGTGAAAATTGGCCCGATGCATTTGAAAGGTGTCTGGTATGTATTTTGATCGCACAGCACGTGCAGCATCAGTCGCTAACTCTTCTCTTCAGGATCCCATTTGAGCGTGCTCTGGAATTTGCCAATAAGGAGAAGATCACCGATCTCTTGTACCCACTATTTGTGCATAATATCGGTGGTCTGCTATACCACCCTGCCAACCAGACTCGGACAAACATGGTAGTGCAAGAGTCTCAGCAGCGACGTTTGGAAGGCCCTCCTCCGGGTCCCCAGCGCACGCCGTCTGGCTCTCAGCAACCCCCGATTCACCATCACCACCCCTCCCTTCAGACTCCAATGTCCTCTCACATGTCCCAAGGCCCGATGAGTGGCCAGCCGGGCTCCAGACCAGGCCTCGAGCGTGCCAACACCTTTCCCACACCACCCGCCAGCGCCTCCAGCCTGATGGGCGTCAACAACCAAGGCAGCTCATACGAATGGGGTGGACAAGTGCCCCACACACAGCCCTTGTCCATCGACACCACACTGAGCAACCAGCGCTCAATGCCAACCACACCGGCAACCACCCCACCGGGCAACAACCTGCACGGCTTGCCAGCCTACCAAAGTCAACCCTACGACAACTCTAAGCCGTACTACTCCGCGGCACCACAAACGCACGCCCAATATGCGCCTCACACTCCATTGACTAATTCAGGAATGTCCAGCTACGGCCAACCCCTGCCGGGCGGATACATGAAAAGCGAGATGGCGCCACCAAACCCACGCCCTGGCGCCTCAGAGCCCGAAACCTCCGAGCGCGACCCAAACCGCTACAGTCAGAGCAATGGTCCCGGCGAGACCGTCTCCGAGCACGAGCAGGAGTACATGCAAGACCACAACGCCGGCTACAACTCTAACCGCGGATCCTACACTTACACCACAAACCCTTCCGTTAGCTCACTGACCGGCGAGCACTCCCAACTCACCCCGGAAATGACCAGCTCCCCGAGCCAGCAAAACGGCTCCGGTCGCATGACCCCACGCACGGGCGCTGGCCCCCCTCCTCACTGGGCTTCGGGGTATAACACTCCCCCCCGTCCTGCAGCCGCCACTACCCTATACAATGCCGTCAGCGATACGCGCGGAACCCCAGCCAACGGTGCTTCGGACCCTTACTCCATGGCCTCGACCACCGCCCCGGTCTACGCGACTGGGAATGGCTCGTTGAGTGCGGGCAGCAAGCGCATGCGCGAGGACGACGATATCCGTCCTCCCGAGAGTACCGCTGAGTACGAGACTTCGAAGCGCCGTAAGACCATCACCGATGCTACCCTTGGTGGTCCGCTTGGTGGTCCGGTCGGTGGCCCGCCTATTCTTCAGCCGATGAAGCCTAGCGCGGTCATGGCTCGCCATCGGTGAGAGTATGTGATTCAATTGTGGTTTCTAGTTAGCTTTCAGCTTGTGGTTCTGGTTCTGGTTTCTGGGTTTCGCATCGGGCCTTTGGGTTTTCAACTGGATTCCTTTTTCTTTTCTTTTTTTCTTTTCCTGTTGGTTCTATTTCTCGGTCGGAGTTTGTTTTTCATCATAGACCGCGCAATGCAACAACCCGCATGGCGCGTCGTGGTCTCGTCTGTGTCTTACCACGGACATGTGGAGACCGAGACTGGCAGACCCGACGGTGTCGAAACGAAACGAAGCTCATTTGTCTCTGCATTTTATGTTTTCAAGTTGAAATCTTGGCTGTTTTCGGGAATATTTAACTTGTGTGGGGAGAAGGGAAGGACTAGGCGCAAGATCTGTTCACGGTCCAACATTAGAAAAACATTTCTTGATACCTATATGTTGAAAGAACTTGTCATTTGTTGAAGACTTGGATGGTGATCGCAAACCTCGATGACTACGATGTGACGAATCTCTTATGAACGAATTTTCTTTGTGTGATGACTTGACCACGAGCCATCTTCATTAACGAGCTGCTATTTTGTTTTTGTTTTTTATCATTTGTTGCTTTATCATTTACGCGCTGGGGTTTGAAAAGGATATTCTTTGTGGCATGGCCTCGGCTTTGGTTTTACTCCCCTCTCTACTTCTCTGCGCTGCTATTGCTTCTGCTTCTGCTACTGCCCCTCTACTAGAGAGATGATTATCATGGTAATGAACGGTTATGAACTCTGGGTCTGCATGCCTTTAGCGACATACAACGTTGGTTTTGTCCGGTCTAAATGGATTTGTTCTTTTTCGCACTGTGCTTTTCCATAGTTTGTATTTGGCTTTGGATATTTCGTTTCCCTGACACTGTAAGCCTTCATTATACTTCTACTTTAGTCACATACCTCCCAGCACGTGACCAGACCTACCCTATCTCGCCCAAAACAGCAAAATCAAAACACATCCGAACCATGGTTCCTTCCGCTTCATGCCACGGCGGCTTCTTGCCAAATTTCAACTCAGACAGTATCACATCCATTAACCTCAAATAACGGAAGGGAACCCGCGCTACAACCCCGCAAGACCCAACCATGACAACCGACAAACCAAAACCAACCGCAAAACCACAACCCCCAGAACCACGAAACCACCTCTATTTCGATCCCTGGCAGTCAGCCTCAACCGGCCACCAACGCGCAGCCGAAGGGGGCGGCTTCCTCGGCTCGACATCATGGCGGGATGCACGCTCGGCGAAATTAACCAAGCAATATCAAAGCGGGGATTGTCTTCCAGGACGGGGAAAGGGATTGGGATTGGGACAAGGGAACAAAGCAACACAAGAGTCGACACTCGTGCCCGGTGCCTTCAATGGGAAGTGCCCATCACAATCGCCGCCTAAGATACCCGCTTCCGGTGCATGGGCTATGATAGCCGGGGATGTGGCGAAGCGGAATGAACTCGGTGTTCGGGATATTCGGTCGTTTATGGGTGTTAGCAAGAGAACGGCGGTTGATGAGCTCGAGAAGGATACCAAGACGGAGACGAAGAAGATTAGGGTTGTTGGTGGAGGAGGTCGGAGTTTGAGTCCGGCTCGAGATGTAACGGAACAGGATATGGAACAGGATATGGAAACGGAAAAGGAAAAGGAAAAGTCTCAAATAAAAGACGAATCCCAACACGACTCCCGTTCTGGCACCACCCTTGACCTAAAATCGACTTCGAGTATTTTCGCTGGTGTCTCGATCTTCATCAATGGCTCTACCCTCCCCCGGATCTCGGAGTACAAGTTGAAACATCTACTCGCTTCAAACGGGGCGAAGACTTCTATCTATATGGCCCGGAAGACGGTGACGCATGTTCTCGTCGGACAACCCAATACCAGGACTGGGAGTGGAAGTGGAACAACTGTTTCTGGGGCAGGGGGAGGTCTTGCTGCCAGTAAGCTCCAGCAGGAAATTGCCCGTGGAGGGTGGAAAGGTGTGAAGGTTGTTAGTGTGGACTGGTAGGTACTATTATGATGCTGTTGAATGACCGGCGAGTGATCTCTTCTGACGTTGGTATCGCTAGGGCTCTCGAGAGTATCAAAGCTGGACGTCGTCTTGCCGAGTCCCGGTTCCCTGGTATGCATGTCGCGGCTAAGGGGCAGCGGAGTGTTGCTGGGATGTTTGATGTGCAGGGGGTGAAGGAGTGATCTTCTTTTGCATGGATATGGTTGACATTTAGCGACTTGCTTTTTTTTTATGTTTGCATTGCATTGCATATGGCGTTTTGCCATGGATGGTGTTTCGGATAGAGTGGGTTTTGGGTCAATCTTTTGGGTTGGAATGATGAATCTTTCAATTACGTGCACTTTATGATACCCAATGATCTATGATCATATCGAATTTAATCTGATCGTCATGACTATGAATAGCTGCTTTGGAATTTCTCTCGTTTAATTGACTAATGCACTGCCGTTGCCGGTATAACTAACTTATGATGGATATTGACTTCTAGTACTCTAATTTCGTTGACCCTTGTATATGAAGTTCTCATTTCATTAATCGTGCACCATTATCATAACATCCATTATACACAGAATCAAAATCAAAATCACATGTGCATGTATATGTACAGACCGGTGATAGAACCAGGTTCGATAACATAACACAAAATCAAAAAAAAAAAGAAATCAACAAAATCTTCCAACGCCATAGCCATGCAAAATACTATGTGAGAAAGAAAACAGGATAGATCCGCCATAAATCAGAATCCCAGAATGGCAGTATAGGCCAGATAGATAACGAAGATTTCTCACGTTCACCTGAACGAACTTCCCCTACCTCCGCGTGCAGCATACGTTTCACCATCATGGCTGCTATTGTCCGACATATGCCGACGCCAGCCGCTCTGTTGGCGGGTCGGGTAGACATGTGGGGGTTCATTGTGGCCTCCTGACTCGTTAGAGAGGGTCGCTACCATATCAGAGTCCGAGGAGACTGATCTCAGACCCGAGGCATCGGTTGCGGTGGGCATGAGATCGAGGGTGGTGGTAGGCGTGATATCAGGGAGTGGGGGGAGGGGGTTTGGATGGCGGTGGGTAGAGAAGGAGGATTGGGCAGGAGGTGGAGCGCGAGAATGGGCATGGACAGAAGAGGTTGTCCGTGTGCGAGATCTGCTGTCGCTGCCCCTCGATGAAGGGTGTCTCCAGCCGTCTTCTTCGTGAGAGAGGGGTTCTGGGGATGAGGTGGTTTGTCGGTTGTGCGGGAGGTAGTAGGGGTTGTTGGATTCGGAGTAGTCGTCATGATTATCCTCGTAGGCGGGGAATGTGGCGGTATTGTTGCTGGACACGGAGTTGCCGTGTGGTCGCCCTGCGAACATGGGCTGGGGCTCGCCAAGTTCTGACTCGGCGCTTGACCAGCGGTCTAGCTTTTCGTTCAGGGGTTCTTCTTCCGGTTGTGAATGGCGTGAGTCGCCGTGGACGAGACCGAGGGATTCTTCCTCAGTTGCGGACTTGCGCATATCGGCTGCCAGGTGCGTTCGGCGTAGGATTCCACGGGGCGAACCTGGCGTGGGTTTCACGGAAGACTCGCTGTCGGTCTTTGTACGGCCCATCATGGTGTTAAAAGAGAACTGGCGGCGGGTAGTGTTGGCGAGAGGTTCGGGTGCAAGGGAGTCGGGCTTTTCGTCTGCCCATGAGATAGACCGTGGTGTATCGCTACGCGGACGGTTTGCGTTGAACGGAGCCTCCAAACCTCCAGCCATACCGGCACCATGGTATTCTGTGTCAGCATTGCCACTTTGGTGTGGCATGTCTGTCATTCCCACCGATTGTGTATTGACGTTAGAGCTTTTCTCGTCTTCTGTATTTATGGCCTTCCACTGGGAAGGATGAAGCACGCTGGTAGCCCGAGACCGAATGTTATCCATGAAAGAATGACCGCTTTGCTTGGTGCTAGGTCGGTGATCTTCCTCATGCTCGTCAGCGGGCAACCGGGACATGCCCCACGGGGGATGTTGCTGCTTGACCGAGGGTGTTCGTGGAGTGATTGGTCGTGACATAGTTGGTCCCTCGCCAATGACAGTTTTGCGCCGGCGCAGGCCATCCCATTCGATTATCTCATTCTCGCCTGGCACTGTCAGGGTATCCTCATGTTTGTCATGGAAGAAACGGCGGGCTTCATCTGATTCCATAGTGCGGCGAGCAGTCGAAATGCGACGGATGATAGAGGCCGCACCACGAATTGAGTCTGCCTTGGGCTCGGATTCGGGTTCTTCTACTGCGGCAACCTCTCGAATTTGATCCAGATCGCCCTTGAAAATAGCAGCATCGGGGACGTCCTTGGCGGACTTGGATAGCTGCAGTAACACCACACCGGCGCAAATTTGCAGGAACCCAATGATGACGGTTGCAATCTGGATTCCTGTGCCCTTGAAGCCTTGGAACAGAATTGCGGATGTGATAATGGTGGCGCTAGTAAACATCACATAGTAAGTCGGGGTGACCAGAGCGGCATTGAAAAGATTAAGGGCTTTCTGTATAGCAGGGTTAGCACAGCCATGAGACACGAGGGTGAAGAGCGTACATTGAGATAAATAATCTCAGTTAGCAGTGTCCCAATGACAAACACAAGCAAGATATATAGGAACCAATGCTTGAACTGCTCCTCGCCATTAATCTGAGCGAGAATAGCAGAGCCCAAGCCCTGGGTAGCGACGACACTCAAGCCACCAACCATGCTGCAAATACTGATATAAACAAACATGCTCGACTTTCCATAACGTGGACCAACCCAAAGAGCCGTAAAAGCAGCTCCAACGATGATCAACCCGGTATAGACCAGAAATCCAGGCTGAATAACAAAATGCTGCATTCCCTGAATATCCTTGACAGACGACTGCTCAGGTGCATTCATAGCAATAGTCACTGATCCAATAATACAACAGAAACAGCCAACCTTCCCCACGAAACTAAGCCGTTCCTTGAGGAAAATCGCCGACAGAATTGTCGTAATCACAACCGATAGTGCACCAAGAGGCGTAACCAAAATCGCATCGACAAACGCATACGCCACAAAATTGCAGATCTCTCCAACAATCATCAGCGACATGCCAGTCCACCACCAAAAGTTCTTGAGATATCCATATCCCTCACCGGCCTCCTCATTGTACTTCACGTTCGCCTTCAGTAGTCCGATTTTCTTAACCACGAACGATATCCCGATGAAGACACCTGATGCGACAGCCAGCGAAATGCCGACGGCCTTGTACACCGGAGGGCGGCCTGAGGATTCCGCGCGGGCGAGGAGGTTGTTCGCATGCGATAAGGCGGAATTGGGATCCATGATTGTGGAAGTTGGAGATTAAGCCCACACTGACCAGCAGTGGGAAGAGGCGAAGAGTTGTGTCGCGGGGACAGAGTCGTCCGAAGACGAGACTCAGCGACTATTTGAAACACTTGACGCTGCCACGATATCGATAAAGGCTGGGCGTATCGCTGGGGTGATTATCAACGAGGGGCCTGCGTCAACAACGGTTTCGAGTCGGACTGTCGCAACAACTTTTGTAACAGGGGAGTAATTGTAACTTAGAATATTGGCGATCTGGGAATGCTTCTGGAAAATGTCCACGAGGAAAAGAAAAATGTGAGATTCCGCAAGGGGGGGCACGTCAGCCGTTGGCGCTATGACTCTCGGTCTCAGATGGCAAAGATACGACTTTGAGAGTATTTAAGGAAGTAGAATCTACTTAAGACAAAAATTCAGGAGTTGAAGAATTGAAAAAAAAAATAAACAATCCACAATTATCAAAGAAATCAAGAAATCAAGAAAAGGGGAAGGGGATCGATATACAAAACAAAGAGGCTGGGAGGTGGGGAAAGGAGGTACTGGTACTCCTGAACAGGGCGGGCTGGGCTATGATCGGCAGGTACCTGTACCTTCCAGAGTTTTGGCATCGGCCGATGTTGCTTAGTCTATGGAGAAGATGGTGCATTAGGCTGCCCTTTGATGAACGATATACAACAATACTCCGTATACGGAGTATACTAAGATCAACAAGCAATTGACTTGCCCATGAGAAATACGTACTTTGTATATTTTACATGGATGCCTAATATAGAAGTGTCATGCTTTTTTTTTTCTTGTCTCACATAATTATTATACAGAACATCAGTTTCCACATTTGCTGTCTCATAAATGTCATCATTCATTATGCCCAACGAGGCCAGCACTGACCATCGTTCATAGGGGATCAACTAAGACAGCCCCCCTCCCCCCAATAAATAGAATTGCATGCGCCCAAAACACCCTCTCAGCCCTAATAAACCGTCTCAACAGAGGGGTATTCAGCAGGAAACAAAAACAGCGTGATGCACATGTAAAAAAAAAAACAAAAAAAAAACGCCGAGAGATGAAAGCACACGAGAAGGGATCACGGATCACCGCACGTGGTAGCTAGGCTTCCGTTGTCGGTTCACCGTTGGTGGTGGCTCATCAACTGGGTAAGGAGGTCGGACTTTAGTGTTCGAAGTAGACGATGTTGCTTGGGAGAATAGCGGTGCGGGCATAGCCACGCCACCATCGTCTTCTTGAGCCGGGTATGGGATGGGCGTCTTGGGTGGCACTGGTGGTGCTGATGGCATGCCATTGAAGGTTGTAAAATATTCATCACTGCGGGTAGGCGAGCTCTGTTGTTGCGAGCTTGGGCGGCTTGCAAGCTCGTGGCTTCGACGATAGTCACTGCCAGATTGCCGGGGTGGAGAAGTAGGTATGCTATCCTGAGGTGTTGGATGAACTGGGAGCGTGTCATCCGGTGGTGATGTAGTCACCACGGTTGGAATACGTGGCGGCGCTTGTGAAGACGGAGCGTGGTGTAAAAACTCTGCAGGTAGTTCTGCAGGTAATTCGACAGCAAAGTGCGCAGGGGGTGGAACGTGTGATTGGACGGGAGGAGAAAGCGAGAGCTCTTCAGTCGCAAGGTCGAAGGATAGATCGTCGCGATCCCCGCCAGCTGCGGCGTGGCTCGCCAGCCGGCGGTTCATGCGATCAATCTTAGCAAATCTCACACCCGCTTCTAGAATCATCTTCTTGACTTCAGGCCTGGCCAGATATTGCCGTGTGTTGGTGCTGATATCAGCTAGCCGGTTCCACTCGTTCATGCCGAACTCGCCAACGCCAACCTCGACATTGAGGCGGAAATAATTGTCTTTGC